CGCTTCTGGACGGAGTGACTGTCTCGTAGATCGGCTTTCTTGGGTCAATTTTATCCGAAATTCCGTGTACTAGACTATCGTAGTTGTGAAAGTTGAAACGCTCCACCAGTTGCTGTTCGATTAATAAGTAAAATTGCAGAATCGGTTAAAGTTTAAGGCAGAAAACGGTGAGATTACCTTTGAGAAATTCACGCCCCTAACAGTGTTTCCAGTATGGTCCAACGGGGGCGAATACATTGCGATTCCCATAACGTTCGGTATGACCAAAATCATGCCGCCGCTGACTGCTGATTTCGCCGGTAGGCCAACCTAAACATATACGCGTGTTAGAACTAGCTACCATGGCCAAAACACCACAAAAACTGCCCATACCCTGAATGCAAACTGTCCTGAATAATCGTACATGCCACATGAGTACATAAGCGATAGTACGTCGCGGACGGATTGATTTTTAAGAGTCACTTCTCCGGTGACGGGGCATACGCCGCCATTGGCCAACGTGGCGGCCATGACCGCCGCAGATTCACACGTCGTTTCTATTGAGCAGACCTTAAATCGTAACAACATAACCAAAACATAGATTAAGCAACCAAATGGAGCCGTCAGCGTCAGGCGGCGAAAGTGCATTTCGCCGACGCCTTCGACAATCACGTAACAACACGGTTCGTAATCTAACCTGAAAATAGAAGTCGAGGAGTTCATTGAGATTCACGTTTTTTGGGAAGCACTAAAATATCAGCCTTAGCGTATATAGTATATCAGCAGTTCAAATATGGTTTACTTTGTGTTCGCGCATAAAGTACGCCAGGGCAAAATTGCGATCTGCAGTGGCCCTTTCTGACAAATATCTGTAACAGAGGAAAACATGCTAGCGTTTGGCCAGTACATTCTTGCTACACGTCACCTACGTTGAGTTGCTGAAGCCGATAGTACCAGAACCGGAAATTTTTCGAAACATGTCCATGATAAATTCGAAGCGGTCCGACAGATACAGATCCGGCTAGAACATAGACCACAGTTAATATAAGTAATGAAGCGACTCTAAAACGTCATTACTTTCAACAGCGATAATACAACAATTGATCCAGCGTTAATCATCGGGTTATGTGGTTGATCTAAATAGCATCAAATATCTAAATTGATAGAAATGCATACGTGTGGTAGCAATCTGTTTAGATGTTGATTTAAGATCTATGCAAGAATTTCATCATCAGAATCTTCAAAGGGCTTATTCCGTATGTAAATTTTATGACATAAAATCCCAGAGTTTCGGATCGAGCTGAATCCATCTTCAGGGGAAATTGCGTAAAGACAGTTACAAAAGCATACCTTTTGAAAATTTTGCCTAGCAAGAACTGTCCATCCGCATAAAGAATTCAAATAACCTCTTTACAACTGCTACACAGGAACTGCGATAAAAGAACTGGCAATGACCCTGAAACCAGTAACATTTCAGAAGTCTGCCTGTTGCTGAGGACAGCAGATTAGATACGGAAGTCTTGAATCTGGAAAAACCTGAACAACGACTTGATGTTTTTTCAGACTAGTGGCAACAGTGAACCGAGATTTGACACCAATAAGTGTGTGCTGAGCACCGCTACAAATATTAATCCTTTCAGCAGATTTCCACAATTCAGAAACGTTAGAAATAATCTAATTTAATGGCTCACCTGAAAGCTAGCTAATGCGTGATAATCAAGTTTGCAAGGCAGAGAAACAGAATACGTACTTGCATTTAACAACCCATAACATCTTACTGTTTGAATTCAGCGAAATGTCATTGAACAGACGACCAGACGGCTCCTGTCCGACAAAACTGTGCACCGTTTTGTCACCGAGTATATCCAAAGCAATGCCATAAGTGAACGCTTTGCTGATCGACTGCAATGACCAGTGAGTGTTATAGTCTCCCCAAACTGCTCTGAAAAGTGGAAAAGTGATTTGAAGACCATGACTTAAAAGCAAATAATAACCTTCGAGAAATGGTTTTTCAACTTGCGTTATAGATATTTAAAAACAGTATATGACTGAGTGTAAATCGCAGTTGTAATCAGCACCATTTGCATAATAGTGTTGTGCAATATCAACAATGTCAAAGGATTTAAGGAGTTCAAATATCTTATGTGCAGCCGCTGCTTCTCCAGGTTAAGAAGTCACAGCTGCAATGACTTGAGCACTTCTTGTGAGGGCCCCCAGAAAGGAATGCGAAACAGCTACTACTATTCAACTGACATGCCCAAGATTCCGTAGACGGCCAAGAATAACCAGGGGCAAGTGTTTCGAAGGACTCTGCTCCAGACTCGGGTTATCTTCTGCCGAAACTCAAATGCTGGCATAGGTTCTAGAACGCTGGAAGCATCCGGATGCCTCTGCCTCCGTGAAGTCACAAGAGATCATCTAAACTGACTGATAAATGCACAATTTGTTTGACTGGTCATTATGATACGCTAGAAATTTTAGAGATCAATCTTGATTCTGATCCTATTACTGATAGGTCAGTGGTATGCGAGTACAAAATTAATGTAGAAAGCAGTCATATCCAACAGTCTAAGAAATAATTATAAAAACTTACTGCTCTTATCACCTGACATGCATAAGGGTATGTATGTCCGTAATCATCGTCTCCATATAACACAAGGCAACACAAAAGTGAGTTTGCCGTATTTAAATGTTGTTTCCTTATTCATTTCATATGTATCTAGCCTTGTTGTACAGTAGATGCACTTATAAAGGAAGAAAAAAGTTTGCCACCGTTAAGGTGTCGGTCTTTCCTACACTGTGGAGATTTGCATAACTCCTTCTGTCATGTGGCTTTGGCGCAGATCCTCGTCACACTGTCACCAAACAAGAGTGTCACGCCTTCTAAGGCAACGTTTACTGTTAAGTGGCCACTACAGCGAACAGTCTCATACGTTCTACTCACACATGCTACGCGTTTAGCAACCTCGAAAGGATGAATGAAAAGTTGTCCCGGAAGTTAAATCATTTTACTGTGAGTCTGACGCTCTACCGACTATACCGACCAAGACACACTGAAAAGTTGCAGCAGTAGTTGATAATACTCATAAGCCGTTATTAAGTGTGCAGACGCATACCTCTGTCCGTCGATAGTACATATTGCAACGCCCCACTTTTTAGGATCGCATCGTGCCAATTGCGGAATATAGTCTGCCACCTGAAGAATGACGTCATTAGTCAAAAAATGAAGAAAACAACATGGTCCACCCAAACGTTGTGCGAGACTGTGCTAATTTCTATTTGCATACCATCTTATTTGAAAGCGCGCTTAATCTTATAAATTTCAAACTAATAGCAGAAACTTCACTATATAGCCATAAATTATTTTTAAAACATTACGGAGCATAAGTTAGGAAATCAACTTTAAGTTAACTTGGATAAACGACATCTAACAATATTTGAGGGGTATTTTCCAATGTTCGAAGCTTCATCTTGAATGGTTTCTCTTTCAAAGAAAGGTATATGGATAACGAAGCGATATGATCTGTAGTTCTCGTTTGCACAAATAGTAGTCATGAGTTCAATTCGAGTAGGTTTGTTTCGCAGTGTTCCATTTCAGTATATCGTTTGATTTTCGGGTCACACATGATAAATCACAATGGTTCCTACAGCACCTACACATGATTATCAACAAAGAGCGCAACTAACTAATTTTATTGCAGTAATAGTGAAAAATTGTTACAAAAGTAATTATGATTTTGCTGTCGAGTTTTTTTTGCTTACTCAGAGTTTAAAGGGGCAGTTCTGAATTGAGATTTACGCGGATCAATTTTACTAGCAGCTTTATTGCATCTTTCACATAGACGATAAAACGTTTCGCTTTCTCCCAGTATATGCATACCCTTTTGTAGAAAAATGTCTCCTTGGTTTTTAGAATTTAATAATTCTTTTCGCACTACACTTTTCTCATACGTTCGAGATGGAACGGGTAACGGTCGTTGATGCATTGCATGTCTTAACAGTGCAAAGTTCGTTCAATAAATGCATTGACTTTCGTAGAAGTCCACTTTCACCTCGACTCCAATATCAATACTCTTTTATATCACAGAATATAACGTTTCTTCGTTTCACTGACCGTCTATCGGTTTTTCTGCAGCTACTATTCTGTACCGCGAGACAAAATGCGGACCTAGCCCTCTTTTATCTATTATCATTATATACCTTTGGAAAGGGTGCTCATGTCAGTAAGCCTCAATCTCCAATTTGCGTCTTGTCGGTGAAAAGAGCAGAACGACGAGAGGCGATGATAATTTCATGGATCTACAGAATCGCTGCGAGAAAAAAATCTATTAATAGCAGCAATAGCGATAAAAACTGAATGCTGTTTATGGCAAATGCGGTTGGTCAACATCCACTACCTTTTGTACATAAAGTCCATGAGATAAAACATATGCGATCGATGACCAGTTGTTACGGGCGATTCAGTCACTCTCTGTTGATGGCAGGTGCTGTGTCAGAGTAAATGGCGTTTAGTCGAAACCCTTCAACGTTGGCACTGGTCTTCGCCAAGGCTGCGTTCTGTCTTCTCTCCTATTTGTGTCATATATGGATAGAACAGTCAGAAGCAATCAGGAAGATGAGTTTATCAGCGTAGAACACATCGAGAAGAGAAAGCTGCTGTTTGCAGACGACCATGTTTTGTTGGCTTCTTGTGAAACTGATCTACCCCCTATCTGGAAAGGTTCACGAGTTGAGTGCAACGTTGCTGGAATGCGCTTGAACGTGTCTAAAACCGAAAGCCTACTGATTTCTCTTTTTCCTTGCGCTTTGCAGAGAAACGGAGATGCAGTGGAATAGGTTGATGGGATCATGTATCTCTGGGTCGCGTCAACTGATGACCGGAAATCGGAGGAAGAGATCGATCCGCTTATTGGAATGGCCGGTGACGTTCTGCGTGAACTAGCCAGAACCTCTGTGACTAATGCAGAGCCGAATTTAAGTCGGTCTTCGTCCTGATATTCATCTGCGGTCATGAGTCTTGGGCCATGAGTGAAAAACTTCGATCTCGGATAGAAGCGGCTGAAATGGGCTTTCTGAAACGAATCGCTGGGACCATGAGCCTCAACATAGTCCAGTGCACAGATATTCGAGAGAGAGTCTTGGTGTACAGTGGCTGCTTTTACAGATTGAAAAGAAACAGCTACAATGGATTGGGCAGGTCTTGCGAAAGTTCTCAGGAAGGTTTGTGCCCATATTATCCGGCTGAATATCCCGGGGATATTCAAAAATAACATGGGCTCTCCAACACTCGAACTATCATCTGTTGAAGCTCCAACGGTGGTACATGATCGATAACGTTTGAAGCACTGTCTGACGCGTCTGCTTCTGTGACCTGGAAGGATTAGCGGACATCGAAATTGGCTCACTAAGTC